AACAGAAATTTACATCAGCAACAATAATGTGTCAACTGTTCTGATATCATCATTTAAAAACAAAGACATTTGTCTGGATAGACATGAATTTAAACACAAAAAAAATTGCTGGCACCATGGAAAAATCTACAAAAACCTCTAACCATTATTACAGAAAACAATCTTTTTTTGAAGTAAGAGCTTGGTGTGGTCTGTAAATACGATTTTATTATTTTTATTATTATTATATTATATAGAAGCTGCAAAAACAGTCAGTTTTAAATGAATTGTTTCTATAACATCACAAAAACCTGTATAAATACATATGTATGTATATGACAGTTTGCCCCACCTACTCTTATTTATTAATGTTATAAGGAATATTTCAGCCTGCACAGAGTAACCAATCTGCAAAGCTCATTTACATTTCTATCAGTCAGTAACAAGAAATGTCTGTTTTATTCTAAAGGATAAAATCTGATTGGAAAATGATCATGTAAAAAATTAATTATTTGATGCATATTTGGTACATAAAATTACATAAACATTGTATGTGGCCATCTAAATACGGAAAATACAAAAAGATTGTAGGATATGGGCTTAATGATCAATACATAATATTTACATCACATTTCCCTGATGAGGGACGTCTTTGCCAGAATGCATGAAATCCCTCCCCTTTTCCTCCTTAGCCTCAACAGCTGGTGCTGTATATCAAGAGGAAGTATTTAAAATAGGCTGTCCAAATAAAGATGGGGGAGATGAGTGGGCCATGTGGTGGACAAGACAAAGCATGCACACATCATACAACTGCACTGATCAACCCTGCTTCATAACAGTATTCACAGTACACTGTCAGCTCATCATGATATAAGCATAACTTTGCATCAGTATGCCACTTCATCTTGACGTAACTCCAATTTCAGCATGACTAAACAATATATCAGTGTTTTATTGTCTAATACCCTTAATATCCAATGAGTAATAGACAGAGTAATAACTGGAGTATGGGCTTTAAACATTTACTTATTTCATCTTGATGCATGTCACCCAATCAGCTTTGGCACTGATTGTTTCATCTCCCTATAAATTTCAATTCCAGCTGAATTAGTCTAATAAGTCTAATTCAGAGGGACAGAAAGCTATCATATATTCTATAATTGCATAATTTTTGCTGCCTAATTTCCTAATGAAGTACATATAGGCAACAAAAACTGTCTTTTTCAATTATCTTAGCTGGCCCTTCATGAGATTAATGTAAGTAATTTATGTTTTTTTTCTTATATTCTTGACAAACATTAGTGTACAGTATGTAATAGACTCAAATCTGAAAAGCCAAACATGGAATGGTGAAGCCCCACTTGTACTCTGTTTTAGTAAAAGAAAAGACTTAGCTGCTTAAAGTCAGTTCCATATTGACACCGGTATGACACCGATGAAACTAATCTTGTTAAACCACAGTGAAATAAATCAAAAACCTACCTATGAAAATTGAGTTTTGCCAGTCTTTGAGGTTGAGACCCTGCCAAAATGCTGCTGTTCAAGACTTCAAAAGGATATTGACCCAAACGTCAGCTTGCTTTCTTCAATCGAGTTGACCTTTGACTCCTGCTATGGTTCACAAGATTTGCACTGATGCCGATGTAGGAGCAAAAGCTGTCGGTGAGTTTCAACAGTGCAAGAGGTGCAGTCGATCCAGTATGTCCAACAGCAGTGCAATTCCCCCAGGATGACTCTGTGATCAGAAGGGGTGTCCTGTCTTTTCACCAGTGTGCTCTGGTGTTAACCTCTTGTGTATGTGAAAATGCACGCTTGGAGCTCATCTGTGCTTCATTGTGTACTTGGACTCTCCTCTTGGTTTGTATCCCTCACAATGTCTGCGTCACTCAGTCCTGGAGCACCCTGGGTGTCAGCATGAGCCAAGGGCCAATAAATGCTTCCACAGCTGCCCCTTCACCCTCCTAAAAATAGCCCCGACCATGTCAGGGGGGCAAGATAAGGTCCAAGCCTCAATTCAGTGGGCTGCAGGAGCTAAATTTAGACTGACAGATCATTTGAGTCCTTCCGTTGTGACACAGAAAGAAGGACTGCAGTAATCATGCTAATGTGCATGCTAACCATCTGTCTGCTATCTCCCTGTGGGGTATTGGGCAGGCCTGCTGCTAAGGGGGCGCTGATAATGATAAGAGGTGTCAGGAGAGAGTGCTGTCAGGCCTCATTAGCATTTGGTGCTTATGTGTGTTATGCTGATGTTATTTTGAGAGAAACGAAGAGTTTGGTTACACCAGTGGCCAGATGTCTGCACAACAGAAGATGGGCAAGCACTCAATATTAGCATAGCTGTTCTTGTGGAGAAACAGTGAGGAGATAAATACAGGAATGTACAAGAATAAATGCTAATTCAAACTATTATTTATGATATTTTCATTGACTGCTTGTCATCCCTGTTTCATGAGCTCCTGTCTGTAGTGGAGATGGCAAGACTAAGCTGAACTGGCAGGTTGACACCCTGTAGGTAAATATCTGAAGAGTTTACTGTGATTGCTGCGAGATCCAGACCAGGCTTGCCTGCAAGTGTGAACAAGAATTTATGACCTAATGAAAATGCAGCAAGCACAGTTGTTGACTGCTGTGAGGGCAAATTCTTAAATCCCACTCCCAGAAAATCTCTAGAAGATGATCTCTAACTCTTTGTGGCATGTGGAATGATTTGATGGATTTAAGCTTTAAAGAAACAGAAAAACATAAAAAAATATATATATAAAAGTATTTTAAAGCATAACTGTGTAATATGCTAAATAGGATAAAGCATTTATGGGAAAATATTAATATTTTCAGATTTGATACCATCTTGCAACTTGGCCATTTCAATATCGACTTGTTAGGGCGCTCTCTGCTGGCAAATCAGTCGCATTACATGCCGTTATCTATCTCATAGGGATACCCCGCTAAAAAAAAGAATTAGAACTATTAGGATTGAAACCTGATGGTATTACTTTTTAAAGGGGATTGGCTTAATCTGTTCCCATTAGAGACCACAAGTTTCCTGTTGGACACCTTTAGATTCCATTAGGAAACCATCAAATCCATCTGGAACCAGTCCCAGAACACCTGTTACACCACTAGAATCTTTACACTGTGAAATCATCACAATATGCCATCAGTGACTACTGGACACCAAAAAGCATCAACAGAATCTTTTAATGTCTTCTGTGATTTTTTTTTTTTTTTCAGCAGGATACTCTGGTCAAGAGCCTGCTTCTTAGTGTCCTATGCTAACATGTCTTGACAGTTACCTCAGGATTACCTAGGTAGAAATATTTTTTCCATTACATTAGCCTACTGTACATTTTAGTGGAACTGTTTTTCTCAGCCCCTAGAAGCAGGCTAATGCTTTGTTGGTCTTTACATTTGTAGAAGTGGGCTAATGTTAAAGAGTATACAGTTAAACATTTCATTAATTGTGAAACTACCAATGTTCTCTACAGACTGGGATGCCCACAATGTCAAGTTTTTTATATTAGTAGAACTAAACTAAGACGTGTCTGCAAGATCTCTTGGCAGAACACAAATACATACCCAGCTGTCACTGTGTCTTAAGATGTCTTGACAGTATTTATAAGATGTCTTGAGACATTTTCTTATGCCAAGACATCTCAAGAACGTCTTAAGACATATGAGTGAAGACACGATTTTTGTCTTGAGACACGAAAGTTAACGTCTTAAGACAAAGAAGTAATTAATTTGTGTGTCTTGAAGATGGGGCATGACTTAAGACATCACTTTGTCTTAAGACATAGAGATGTTGTGTCTTAAGACAGTTCAGTTGAGTCCAAAGAGTAGTCCATTACAAAAAGCCCTGTGGTATGAATGTGGTATTCCTGTGGTACTGCCAAACTTACAATACAAAATTACAATTAAGGATTACCAGGATTCCCACAGCACTGCCTAATGTAAAATATAATGAGAATATAACAAGTATGTCCTCAAGAAACAGCCTGCTATAATCTTATGGTTTTTGTGTGATATTACTAAAAGAACATTCACTAAGGTTTTTCTTGATGTACTTTTGTGATTCTGTATGTTTTGTTTTTTGATTATTGCAGAAATGTGTTTATAGTAGCAAAACAGCAAAAGAAAAAATCAATTCTTAAACCATTTACCTTACCTTAAAATGTTTAAACTCATTTCCTTATATCATTGAAGTTCATGGTAGAATAACTTTTAATTCGTAACATTTACCAATGGAGATAATCACAGTCAGTCACAGCCTTTTGCTCATTTGCAGAAAACATGCTATGATTAAAATAACATTGATCTATTTTCAAACGTAGAATTGTAACCAGAGACAACAAGCTAGGAACCAAGATAAAACAACTTTGAACTACTAGAAAGTAAGTGTACTTAACAGCTAACCTGTGTACTTCAGAGATTACATACCACCAAAACTTAATGCAGAAAAAGCACTTGGTTCACTCTCTTCCACATCTACACTTCTATTTATTTTCTTAAGAAGATCAGGGCTGCCCAAAGTTAGACCATTAGGATTTTTAATTTGGCCCAACAGAAAATATATACTGTGTATAACTTTCCAAATTATTATCTCCAGATATTTGGAAAACACAAACAATAATAAACAAATGTATTTGAGTAGTAATATAAAGACCTATATTGTTTCACCACGTAAAATTACATAATAAACTTGATTTTTGTTTGTCCAACTTCATACTTTGACTTTAATATATGAAGACATGGCCTCCAGTGATGCTTTGTAAAATAATGCTGTACAGCTGTCTCATGTATTTCAAGAGTTTGCAGTTTTCTATTTTGTGTCTAGATTAAAACAACAAACAAACAAAAACAAAACCGCACAGTTCATTCAGTAGAGCAGGGCGGTGCGAACCAGAAAAAAAGCTCTATGGGAGGACAAACAAAGGACTGGCGGGAGTTTCAGACCAATTAGAGCACGAGACTCCGCCGCTTGGACGTTCGGTTTAGAAGCGCGAGCGCTCTCCGCCGTTCCTCCTTTTAAAGCCAAGCGCGACCATTACAACCGTTTACAGTGACTGACTCAGTCACGTCGCTAACGCGGGCAGTTTTATCGAGTTTGTTTAGCGAGTGTTAAACTTCGATAAGACAGTCTCTTACATTCCTTATTAAGACAGCGCCGCCTGCCGGATGACGCTTTCAGCTCCCAAAAAAGGAGGATTTTCAGCTGCGTAGTTAACTTAGCTAAGTAGCTGACTGGGTCGAGTGGAGTGGCGACTGCAACGGTCAGAATCTGCTTGTAAAAGGTGAGTAGTGACAAAATGAGATGAGCAGCCTCACTAACAGTCAGCTGGAGTACACTTTTATTTCTGTATTTCTGGGTTGATCTGCCGAGTGAAGACACCAGCGTTAGGTTAGCGTATGTAGCTAGCTAGCTAGCGGCTAAGCGGCTTGTCTGTTTATGCCTCGCGGCTGTGTCAGATGTTGCTTAGCACCCGCTCCAAATGAAAGGCTGCTTCAGAAATAAATCTAAGATTGATCACAGTGCAGCAAGGTTAGCACACTGAGCAATACAACAATGAAACTGAACATAGTCCGTCAGTCTGTGTAGTTCAGAGAGGGTGGTAATGATTTTTATTTGCTCAGTTACATTTACTCAAGTAACATCTTGGTGGATTTGTACTTTCTAGAGTATTTTTAAAATGTATTATTTGTGCTTTATATTAATAATCTATGTTTTATTCGGCTACATTTATTAGTAATATATAATGACCAGTTTGTTTTGTGTTTTTCATTGTTATGCCTGGCTGTTATTGTTTTGATGCATTTACCTCATGTGTCTCTTTTGTTTTAGGTGTTTCTCATCAGAAATCATTTGAAGCTGAGCAACTGGTGAGACTCAAGTTTTAATTTTTTAAATAAAACTATATGAATGTCAGACAGATGTTTAGATTTGGTGGGTATTTCAAATATATTTCATGAAGTATTTATTGTAATACAGAAGAGCAGAATGTTTAGGTAAAGCTGGGTTGCAGTATTCAAATATCTGCACTTTGTTCATTCAATTTATTAATATGTTATTTGCCATTACAGCTGTGTTCAAAATATCGATATGGCAATATCACCAACACTGTATCAATATTTATGAATTTACTCCTTCACAGTGCTTTAATGTGTAATACTGCAAGTCTCAGAGCCCTACAGTTTATAGCATAAAGCATGTGGTAAACATACTCTAATAGAGTTTAGCTCTTATTAATAATCATTTCATGTAATAGTTCTCTGTGAGAGAGATTAGAGACATTGAACTCTTCAAACGTCTGGTTCTTGTCACTGCCACTATGAACAACTCTGACTCTGTAAGTTTTTCCACAATGGAACATTTTGTATCAAACTACTTTTTTGCATCTTAATGATGAAATTGTGCTTAAAAATCGTGTAATTCTCTTTTAACACAGCTTTTAACAGATATAGATATCAGTACTAAGCTCACACCTGCCTCAGCTGCAAATGATCATTTCTGTTGCATGTTGACTTTGGCATGTTAGAGGATGAAAACAATATAATTGTGAATTATCTAATCAACTTTGTTGTTTTCAATCCTTCCAAAGGAACATCCTCTCTTTGGGCCTCATCCAGTATGGTGGCAGTCCATATCATTCTCAACACTCAACTGTGCTCTTACCCAAGTGGCCTCATCTTGATGCTTCTTTCATTACACTGAACATCATTGTCTGAACATCAGCTATGCGTGTGAGCTGGGTGCCATGCTGGAGTTCATGCATAGGTATTATTTAAAGCCTTGTCACATTTCTTTGTGTACTAAATGCCTGAGATGATTTTAGATGAGTAAAATTATGTATACTGTACATTATATTCTACTTACAAAGGGAATATATAATCCTTTCCCTTTTATTTACTGTGTTATGTAGCTTTTTGTGTGTGTAAGATACAAAGCTGAAAGTATATGCCAGAGGGAGAAACTCTTTCCCACAGAAACCACTTTTCTCAGCTGCCTGTTACAAGATGATGTAATCCCATAACACAGTCCTTATTGCTCACCTACCAGCGAGCTTGGCATGACCTCACACAACGCAACGCATCTACCGGAGGCCGTGTATTGGCGGAACCGCTCTGGCGCTTGATCAGTCAGAGCCAAGTGAGCGAGCTAACTAATCTGAGTGTACTGGGCTCATCAGGAAGGAGGGGCTTAAAGACACAGGAGCTCTAACAGAGCATTTCAGACAGAGGGTGAGTAAACAATTACAGTATGAGAAAAATAATGTGTTTCTGGAACACTGAAGCATGTAAATGTATTATAGTAGACCCCAAAAATAAATTTATGAACATTGGAAATTAGCATAACAGGTCCCCTTTAAATTCAGCCTGCTTGTGTATGCAGATCCAAAAGTAATTTCAAATTTATTGTCTTAAAATTTATTTTTTAACAGATGCATTTTCCTCATATCTCTGACAAAGAAGACCAACACTGAGAAAAACAGAGGAAGAAGCGATGGGCTGTGAATCTGACAGTTCTCTCACTCATCATGGATTTAACTCTAAAAGGAGATATCGGTAACAGCATTAGCAGTGTGATATGTTAGTGTTCAGGCATTATGGCTTGGACATATGCACATCGAGTTATCTGTGTCCTGTTTCCTGTGTCCATGTATGTCCACATAAAATGTCCACAGCTTGGCTCTATTCCAGCTCCTAGCACATCTGAGTCTGGTATTAATTGTTTGACAGCTGATCATTATCTGGCTCAGGTATGTTATGAGTGCTGCTGGGGTTCAGACCTCTGTATTACTCTGTTGGTCAGTTTTTTTTTTTTTAGTCCATATGAATTTGTCTTAAAATTGTTTCCCATCATTTAGAATTGTTCGTAGTACTATATTGCTAATAACTTATATACGGAGTAACAGCAGACCTTAAATCAGATTCATTGGTCGGAACTGTGTTTTTATTGCAGTATATTTCAAATTTCTACACAAAGTCAGTTAACATGTTTTTCTCCGTCTGTAGAACATATCAAGTGTGATGACGCTATTGTACTATGCATATACACAGTAGTAAAAACAATAAACAATAACTGTAATCTATATTTTTTGAAAGCTATGTGGGTGCTTTTTCATGGGCTATGCTTTGGATTGCAGAGTAAATTATTTGAATGAAGAAGTGTTCTGAATTTTTAACAGATTAACAAGGAAATACAAAACTGTAAAATAGTGATTTTTCCATACCCCTTTAAATTACATTACTGTAATTTATGCATACTTATTATTGTTCTTTGTTCTCCTTCTTATTATTATTTTAAAAGTTGATAAAATGATACCTTCATTAAAAAATGAAGCAACTGTAAAATATTAATTGTAAAAAAATGTATTTTTAACACATTTTAAAAACATTAAGGTTAATTACTATAAAAAGGAGGGCGGCACGGTGGCGCAGTGGGTAGCGCTGTTGCCTCACAGCGAGAATGGCCTGGGTTCGATTCCCAGTCGGGCGACCAGGGTCATTTCTGTGTGGAGTTTGCATGTTCTCCCCGTGTCTGCGTGGGTTTCCTCCCACAGTCCAAAAACATGCAGTCAGGCCAATTGGACATGGTAAATTGCCCCTAGGTGTGAATGTGTGTGTGAGTGAATGTGTATGTCTGTCTGTCTGCCCTGCGATAGACTGGCGACCTGTCCAGGGTGTATCCTGCCTTCCGCCCAATGACAGCTGGGATAGGCTCCAGCACCCCACCGCGACCCAGAAGGATAAGTGGTTTAGATGATGTATGTATGAATTAGATTTTTAAATTTTGCAGTCTTCCCTCATACTACCATCATGTTGAAGGCATGGTCTGAACTCACAAATTAATTTTCACTGATTCCATAAGCTTTTCTAATGCAACAGAAACATTTAAAGGCGAATTCCACTTTTTTTTGTACACTTGATTCTGTCCTTGCGATGTAAACAAAGTCATTTAGTGGTTTCATATAAAATGGCTTATTGTAGAGAAAGTTACAGACTGGGAACCATGTGCTTATTATTATTATTATTACTTTTGTTGTTAAATTTGTTCTGAAATGTATAAATGTAGTATGTACTAATGTATGTAATGTTTGTATGTTTATAAAATAATATACTATATATATATTAAAATAAGTGATACCATTATGCATCCTACATAGAACAAACAAATTAAATAATGAAAAAAAATTAATCACTAGAATTTTTGCTATAAATAATGTTGCGTTTTAAAATTCCTTTAAAAATATTTAAAAGTAAAATTTAAAAATACGTATTATGCATCCTACATCTTGAGACATCTTGGGATGTTATTATTGCCAAGACATCTTAAGATCCGTGTCTATACACGTCTTAAAGACGTCTTCATTTCTTTAGACATGCCTTAAGATGTCCTAAGACGTCTTCATAATGTGTCTTTAGACATGTCTTAAGACATCCCAAGACATGGTAATGGCTGGGTATGTATGCGATCATGAAAGGTAATTAGGAGTAGAGGAGAGCAGGCACAACCTAACACGTTTTGGTTTTTGTTGAATAACTTTAAAAATATCTAAGTTGCAATAATCATGTTTTTATACAAGCAACATATACATCTCTGCTACAAAGCAACACCTGAACATTATTTCTAGCACCTACCGTTCATGTGCAATTCTACCGAAAATGATGGGAAGCACAATGTTACAATTTACCCCACGGGAAACAAGATGGCGACTGAAGTAATATTGGATTTTGTAATTTACACAAACAGCTTAGTAACCGAAAAAACCTTGTGTTGAACAAAAAATATACTTACATGCACTGAGAACACTCTTTGGCACATGTCTCTTTAAAACGCTGACGTATCGCTCTGAATGTTCGCGGGAAACCGTGGCTAGGAAATGTGGCCAGAAGCACACGCTGCTAGCTTCTTTAATAGCGTAGGAAGTCTGCATTGCTTTGTGCCCCGCGCTCATCTACTCTATGGCCAGACATTTTTATTTAAAACATCTTAATAATGATTAAAATATATGGTATTGATCATATTCCAGATACATGTAGTAAAGGGAATAGAGAACAGAAACTGAACCAAAGGGAGACTTTTTAAATTTATAAATAACTACTTTCTTCCTGGGTGAAATAAAGATCTTCGGTTTTTAACCGCAGTAAATTGGCTTGTGGTTAGCAATTCAGACTCTATCAGCTAAGAACCCAGCTTGTGAAACACTCGGACATCCAAAGTCATGTGACTGCATAACTGAGGTTGTTTAGAGCACTTGCGTACATTGTGACTCTAAAGAAGACACAAGCCCAAACGTGTTGGGTGATTTTTTTTGCCCATATTAGTTATAATAAAGGCTTTTATTTAATGAAGAGTCCCAGCAGTTCTTGCCAGCTCGTGACACACAAAACAAAACTATAATAGCCTGTTACCGTCAGGTTCTTACATTGGTCATGTCCATAGCTGATCTACACTTACACATGAATGAGGCAGCATTAGAGTCGCTAAGCCTCAGAACTTAGCTGGAAACTTGTGATTTAATGTGAGAACTGATTTGGGGTATTTACCTCTCTACTCTTGTCCGTTTTAGTAAGAGCCTTTGTTAAAGCTCACTGAATAGCTCAGCTGCTGTGTTTGCTGTGTTCACACGGACTGCAAGCCACGCCAGGAGGAGTCTTGACATGGATTAGCCGTGTGGAATGCATCAAGAGAAGCCGTGTTGACAGCACAGATGCTCCTGGCGTGTTAAGACATGAATATTGCCATCCATTTTTTGGACATAATCCCCCAAAATGACGAGGGGGAAAGCAATGGGGCATCAGTATATATATTACCCTATCAGATTATACAGCATGCAGGTCCATTTACATTATGATGCCCCTCTCTCTGCATTGAAACTGATAGTGTATTAGATATTTTAAGATTGTTTCACTCTTTTGTCACTTATCAGACTGGTTCCTTTGGCATAAATGGGAAAACAAATACTATGTCCTTAGCTGGCAATCCTTCCTCTGGTTAAATATAAGTCATTAATGTAACGTTGGGTCATTTTAACGAGGCGTTAGGACCCTGGGGAGGATCTGTTTGATTGAGTAGTTGTACAGTCTGCTGTTCCCTACTGTACAGTTAGTATGGTGTGGAGTGCGCTCTCACTCTGGATTCCCCTGAGGGCTCCAGACCATGCGCTCAGAAATTACAGTACACTCGTGCCCGACTTTGTACCTGCTTTATAAATCTGACATACAGATTCTCTTCTGTGTTACAAAAGTGGTAGGTTAAAGCAAAAAAGAGAGTGGTGAAGATGCCGGTTTTGTGGTCCACAGTGGAGTTATACCTAGTGCTGGTGCTGAGTGGGATGCTGACGGAGGCGCAGGGCTCAGGTAGGCCAATATATGTACATATATCATATATGTGTATATGGACGTATATCATAAATATGCATAATCATATGTCGTATGCTCCTGTGCTATCATATATTGTAAAATATATATAATGTCACATATATGTCACATACTCCATGATGTAAGGAAAATCCATAGATGATAATATGTCATATATTTGAAACCCATATATTACCATCTACAGATTTCTGCATGGGTAAAACATGCACTCTTTTCTCATCAGACTTATAAATGTTATGCATTTGAGACAACTCTGTTAGCTGGAGTGAGATCAGTTTTAAAGGACAGTTTCTTAAGTAGCAGGCTAAACTGTACGATTTCAGATAGTGGTACATATAAGATTTTGATTGTACTATTTTTTCTAGTTAAATCTAAAATTTAAGCTGTAAGACTGAACACATTCCATTAGCCTGTATCACCATATTTTTCAAAGTGTATGCGGGAAATGAGTGTAATGTAACAGCTTTGGTACTTTTTGCTTT